AGATCCCTGAGATCTCACTCCAAAATAATTTTATTTAGTACAACAACTGATTCCAATGCAGATCCGGAAAAAATAATTACAGTTGTGGACCTGGTAGACCCAAAACACTTCAATAGCCTCTTTTTACTGTATTCTTACTTTAGCTCCTTCAAGATTTATTCTCCCCCCCCTCTGAAACATTCCCATTACTCAAGTGGCTTTAAAATATGCCAAGTACCATATGCTGGAATATTTTGGTTCAAGTAATACCAAGATAGAGCACTAAATAAGTACATTACTCAACTGCATTAGTGATGGCATCAAATTTGGGCTTAATTTGCTTTCGACTCCAGAATCCCCACATCTTCTTACAACCAGTAAAAAGCTCCTTACCTCACCTCAGTCACATATAATTCCCAAGCCCACTCTTCTGCCCCAATGTCTAACGATAGACCCACATCGATCTCTTCACCGGTACTTACAGCTCAGCAACTTCCTGCTCCTCCTCCCAAGCCTCCTTGTGCGTCAGCTGGCTGCTTCCTGTGCTTTTGCATGTCCATATTCGCTCGCTGTATCTCTCTAAACGTGCTTCGTACTCTCTGTAGAAGTGGCAGCTCAGGAGAACGGGATTTATGCAGTGGAGAGCATAATCACAGTAACACAAGACAATCAAATTCAATTAAACCCTTACTGCCGGAATACATAAAGGCTGAAGATTGCTACAGTTTGACCCTGTGCCTATCATGGAGATGCTGCATTAAGTCAGAAAGGTTTTTCAGACCAGGATGCACTGGAGCTTTCTGCAGCTAAAGCGCTTGTCCTGTTCAGCCCTGGCAAACAGAAGGTGCTGCACCACCATCACTTCAGCTGAACTCCATGAGGGGAATACATATGGCGGAACGTTTTGTGGCACAGCTAAGTTACTTTTCAGCTTTTCCAGTCTGATTCATTGGAAAACAGCACAAACAATATCACAGGCACACACAGGAGACGTGGCATGGCCTATCGCTAAATAACCATTGGGGAACTACCAGGGTGGTGTTACAAACTCTAGATGCAAATCACCGGTCTACCCAGTACCCCCAATCTTTTAAGAAAAAAAATCCCAAAGCTTTGAAACTGGAATCACTAGAAAGGCCACCTTTCATTTGGTTTCCAACAGAAGCAGCCTCCTGCGTTAACACAACATTACGACCTTTCTCATACACTACATCACCCACCTCCCATCTCACAGCCAGCTTCAAGACTGAGTTATTCGGGCCGTTAGGATTACTGGGTGCACAGGCAAGGTGCCATGGCGCACATAGCGTTACGAATTACAGCATCAGCTACTCTGTTGTAAGCATCTGTGTCTACGCTCTACCCATTCCACCTAAGCAGTAATTAACTGTCAATGAAAACAGATATAAGCTACTTCACACTTTCTACGGATAGAACATGTACAGGCACAATTATCAGAAAAGCCAGCACAGTAAATCCGTACCAATTTACTCCGTGGCAGCCTGCTTAAGTTGCCATATGCTTACCGATGGTAATTTAAGAGGAGAAATTATAACAGAGAGGCAAGAAAAGCATCTTTCCCTTCTGCATCAGCGTGCTCTCCAGCAGAAAGGCAAGCACAGAGTACAAAGCATGCTTGTAACAACTACAGCAGCTCAGCTCAACGCAGCACAAGTGCTAATTATGAGAGTCTCTGTGGGAAACAGATTGTTCCATGATCCTGAGAAGGCAGAGTCACCAGCCACAGCAAATCACGCATCGTATCCTGCGTATGCTTTGTCTTTCAAGAAAATTTTAGTGCAACTAACCTATTTTTTATTATTATTATTATGGTGTGGTTTGTTTGTTGGGTTTTTTTGTTTGTTTTTAAGATTCTGATTACAAAGCCAAATTACAACTCCAACAAAGCCAATTTTCTTGGACATTTCTTCACAGTCCTAAGGTAAAGCACAACAAGGTGCAGAAGCTGCCCTGTGGACATCGATATACAGGTATCTTACAGCCACAGCAACTGGTGTTACGCAATAATATAAGCTAGGAACAGAGCCACCTCCAGAGGCTGCCCCTGCTGACAGTAGTCCCTCTGCCCGGAGCAGGTCTCAAAAACAAGGCAAAATCCCGCAGTTCCTCAGCTTCCCCTGCTTGTAGAGCCTCTTGCTCTTCATCAGATGAACAGCAATCTCACAAGTCAACACCCAAATAAGTTTTGAGCCCTTTGGCCAACTCTTACTCCTACCTGAGGTTTCAAAGATGCTTAAGCTTCCACAGAAACGAGAGGTGCTACAGGGCAGGGGCAGGAAGCACCATCGCTGCAGTGGGGCAGTGGCAAGGAGTAACCACAGCTTACACAGGAAGTCATCTGTACAGCACCACCGACCAGACCAGAAGTGATTCTGATATATTTAGTAGCGATACTAAGCTAAGGGAGTAAAGGAAAAAACAAACAAAACAAAAAGAAAAGAAAAGAAAAAAACAAGAAACCAGGAATCCTCCTTGTATTTACAACAATTAATCACTTTAATAATGACTGAACTGCAACTTCCCTATGCCTTTCCCACAAAAAGAAGAATTAAAAGCAAAGCCAATCCTTTGCCGGAGAACGTACAAGCAAGAGCTGTCTTCAGCTTCATTCAGCAACTCCACCTTCACTCTCCCCTAGTCTTTCCTTCTGCATGTCCACGGCCACCACCTAGATACGAAGGATTTGCAGCTGCCATAACATGAGTGCTAAAGGAAAGACACACTTCTTAAGGGTTCAACACAGTGCCTTAATAAACCTTCAGTAGTCTAAATAAATATTTGAGATGGTCTACTTCCCTCCTACATTTATCAACTTACTTGTCTCTATCCCTGTGAGGAGATTCCTTTCCTTCCAGCAAGGAGAGCAAATAAATGCTGATCTCCACTTGGAAAATAATTGAAAGATATGTTTTTTCCTAACACCATTTCCCGTATTGTCAGGAAGATCCACAAGAAATTTACCTACAAATTTTCCCCTCCTCGTACATGCCTATGAGCACAAGCTTAATCCCACCGTATCAGGACCCATATTTTTCAGATCAACACTGAATTTAAAAGGGGCAGGTATAGCGATTTTCCTGTCCAGCTCAGCTCTGCCTTTCAAATGCAATTTAATTCCATCTACAGCTGGTCAGCTCATCTAACACTGACCCCTGGCCACATTCCTTAACCAGTGCTGGAGACTCGTGCCCACCCTGCCTTTGTGCTCTGCCACAAGCTCCCAAGCCACGTCCTGCTTTGAAATCCTGGGGCCAGCACAAAGCCAAAACACACAATGTTTTTGCAAAGTTTACTATAACTCAAACTTTCCACTACACATAATGCTATTTGTCCTTTCCACGCAGACTGGAAACAAACTCAACAAATTTCAGACTGATTCAGGACTACAAGCAAGGGCTTACTGGTATTCCACAACCAAACCATCTCTCTACACAGTTGGAGCTGCCATTACCACAAATTCCCAAGACAACAACAAATAAAAAGCCCTGGACACCAGCTACTTGTGAACATTCCCCAAAAGGCCATGAATAACACACATGTTAAATTAAACAGATGACTACCCACTGTGTAACAGTTAATACATCACATATGTTTGCATCACACTGAAGAACACTTAATGTTGAAAGGCAGAAAACAGTTACATTTTAAAAAGGGACTCTCTTAAAGAAAAATGTTTAAGAGTAAACAAGCTAACCGCTGCACAAGATGACTATTAAGCGGATAGAGAGTTTACTTCTTCCTGGGTTACTGACGCTCTCCCAGAAATGAGTATCAACTCCAAAATAGCTTTAGAGCATCTTAATTGGTCCCACTTGCATTAGCTAAGAAGGCAAACTTACCAGGAAAGTCAGTAGATTTATAAGACACTACTCCCTGGGTGGGTGGCAAAGTTCTCCGAGAACGGCAGCATGTGACATGACCGTGCTTTGGCGTTGCCATCTTTCAGCCAAAGTTTAACTGGCTGATATCCATCACACATGAAGATATGAACGACAGCCTTTAACTTGCATGCCAAACACAGCCCTATTCATCATTCTCTGTGCTACTTACTGTACAAAAACACCAGACAGACAGCAACCTTTTACCTGGAGAGGAAAGCAACACAGCTTCCCACAACTGTACACTGATGGCTGAAGGAAAGTTTTGGCTGGACGAGTCCCTTCTCACCTGTCCAGGTTGGTTAGCATTCTGAACTGAGCATCCCTCTTGGGCTGGCAGCATGGCTTTCCAAACAGCAGCTGGTATAGCAGAACACATGCTGCAGCAGTCCTATGCGCTAATGCAAGAGATGACCTGCTCACCAGGGAACAAATTTGGTGTTTGGTGGACACCAAATACTCAGTACACCCGCCACAGATCAGGGGTACAGGTGACATAAATCTGACAAGAGTGTACCACACATGAAGCATTTGCCTGACGCCTCATATGCCTCAGAGCAGATCCGGAAGAGCTCTGACTGCTCAGCCATCCACCCATCCCCACACAATTAGCAAGGCTCACCCCAAGTCAGACACCAGAAGCCCAAGGCTTCGCCAGGATGCAATGGGCTCTGCACGGCATGGTTTCTCTTAAAAGGTTTTCAGGTGATTTGGTAGTCAAAGGAAGCCACATTTTATGTGGCTACAAAGAAATATCAGATCCAGATCAACACCCGAGCTCTCATGACCAGCCTATCCATCTGCCCACTGCTCCTAGACACTTTCTTAACACATGCCCATGTGGCAGACGTCTCACCTCATGCACAATACTGCAATCTCCATTTTTTGTTCAACCTCATCTACAGCTGCAAATCCTAACAAAAAACAAACTAATCAAGCAACCAAAAAGAGTCTTAAGAACTTTTTATGTCTTTCAAATACCTCATTTGTTGCTGTGCAGAATGAGAACCTCTACACCCTTTAGGGGAAGAGGTGATCAATAATTTTTCAAGGTGGAAAAAGAAAAGTTCAGGAGACCATATTCTGCCAGGCCTCAGCATAAACTGAACAAGCGCTGCTCTGGGCAAAGACTGAGGCACCTCTTGACACGCCCCCTCTGCAGTGGTTCCCATCCATTCCCCTGTGCTATCTAGGACAAACAGAAGTGACCAAAAAAAAACCCTCCAAGCCTTCCTTAGGTAACATCTCTCTTCAACTTACTGACTCATTTGCAATTTTCTGTTCCACTTTTTGCCTAGCTTGTATTATACAGTCAACAAAGCAAGACAGAAACCCAACATTACTTAGTTTCTCTTTTTAGCTTCATGACGTCTATCTACCAAGATGAACTTTCTGGAACGTGCTAGGCTGTCCGCCTCCCATGGCACCCCATGAAGCTCCTTCTCCAAGAGGAGAGCATCCCTCTAGAACCTCGGCGATTTCCTCTTTTCTTCTGACCCTGCAGCTAAGGCCATCCCCTCTGAGGACGAGAAACCATTGCTTTTTTTCCTTAATGTTAATACCATTCAAGTGTCTGCAGAAACATGTCCTCCATCTACTCACAGATCCACAACAGCCATACCAACAGACCGGTGCTCTCAGAAGCTGCCCTGTAACTCCTCTGTGCTGTTCCTACAAGGCAGATGAACCTTAAAGCCACA